AGTTGGCCAGCTCTCTGGGCCCTGTTTTGTGTTATTTAAAGATTGGATTAGTAGTTCTTAACTATTTTTGGCTGCAAACTCCTTTGTGAACTTGATGAAAGAAATTAGTTTTCTTGGTAATGCACCTCTACAAAAAAATAAAATAAAATAAAAATCTGTGTACAGTTTCCATGGTCTCTCTATGACCCTCAAATGAAGACCCTGACATTATACTCCAAATGATCGGCATGGTTGCCTCTGATTTTTGAATGATGGAAATTTCTGAAATTGTAATGTTTGATTTAGGGAAAATGTGAAGAGTGTAGAGTTGTTCCTAGAGCCCTTAAATTGAGTGACCTGAAGAAACTATTCGAAAACCCCTTCCTGAATAAGTATCGTGTTTTAAGTTTAAAATGTGAAGTATGTTTCCCTACTCTGAGCCCAATTGCAGTTGTTGGCTTTTCCAGGTAATTTTTGTATAATAAAAAGGAAACATGTAGCATCTTTCTTATTTTCATTTTTCTTTCCACTGTGTATGTGTGTGTGTGCACGTGTGTGTGTGCATGTGCTGTTCTTTTAGACAAGGTCTTACCATGTGGTGAACCTCTTGCTTTGGCTTCCCGAGGAGCTGGGACCACAGGTGTATACCACCACGCCTGGCTTTTCAGAGTGGGCTGGGAACTGCACCCAGGCCTCCCATGTGGCCTCAATCTGCCAAGCAGCAGCATCCAGCATATGCTACTGGCTTCCATAAGCTAGTTTACTTATTGTTCCTAAAAGACGGAATGACTGGGGACCAGCAGGTGGCATGGTGGTTAAGGCACTGGACACTCCCACATGGCCGACCACAGTTCGAATCCTGGACCTGGTGGCTGGCTTTCTCGCTTTCTCTCTCTCTCTGGTCAAATTTAAATAAGTGAATGGGTAAATAAAATTAAATAGTTCTTCAAAGAAAAAAATAAAAACAGAATGACTAATTTGTCTACAAGGGGGTATGTTTCTGAGCCAAGACAGATGCGTGAGAGATGGTGAAGAAGATCCTCTGTGCATTGTCTGTCCCTCCTGATGCTCTAAACTCCACCTTAACCCACTGACGGGCTCCTTTCTGGGTTAGTCCTGCTGATATTTCATGCTGCTACATGCTCCCCCATCCCTGCCCCCACGGGCCTCTAATGCTGTCATGCCTGTTTGCCAAACCGATCAGGTTCTTGACCAACAGCACCACTTAGGTGGCCTTGACCTCAACTCGTGTGCCATGTTCGGTTCTGGGGATGGTGCACCTGAAAGCTGGTGAGAGTCATTTCTAAGGGCTGCTAGGAGGCTCTGACATTTCAGGGAGAGTGAAGCAAGGCAGTGGCTAACTCGCTCTAGCACTTGTGCTTCAGAACTCACGCCAGCAAACGGAAGCCACAGATCCTCTCTTTGGATCATGGGTGTGGAGACAAGAAAGCAAAATAACTGCAGAGAAGTGCCCGTGACTGGAGCAATTCCTCTGTAATAGGCATTAATCAGGGCAGCGCTAGAACGGAATAATGTGGAGTTCAATAGAAATGTACATTACATCCATTGGGAGCCAGATGACTTCATCACAGCTAATGTTATTACAATGAATATAAAGGGAATTAATGATTCACCATTTAGTTACTTTCCTCCCTTCCCCCAACACCTTTTCTTCAGCTTTAACAAACTGGTCTGGAGCCAACTGCGACATCAGTTTAGTAATGACTTTAAGCACCATTTACGCTGCTATCATGGCAATTTAAATTGTCACTTTCTATTAAAAGGTCTACCTCAGAATGGTTTTAAGTGAAAGCGTTCCACACTGACAGTGCAATTAAACAAGAAAAAAAAAATCTTTTCTTGGGATGTCAGGGCAAACGACTTTTAAAAATAGTGTTTCAGCAGCGCCTTGCTAATTTAAACTACAGTATTGCTTTCTATTAAAGAATAGAAACTGATTTGGGCTTTTTTTCCCTCCCCGTACTGCGTGACAGTTTGAATTGGCACTGTGTCCCAGTCAAAGCCCTGATGTGCCAATGGGGTCCCTGAACCTAAAGCGTACCCCTCCCAAGGCAGGCATTAAACAGAAATAATGTACCCGTGTGACAGGGAAGCGTCACCTTTCACAGCATTTGCTTTTAAAATTGCCCTTTTCTGATCCAGCGTGCCTTTTTCAACCACGGTCTCACTGGCTCATCAGGGAGAGACTTGTGAGTTACAGGGTTGCGGCTTTCTCGAGATGACAACTTCCTGATTCAAAAATGGACGATCAACTTTAG